TTAAGATTCTGTTTGCGGAGGAATCCCTTTCCCCCCAGCTTCAGAAGACCCTTCAAGTAAAGATTAGGTGAAAAAGCGGTTAAATATTGGTGGACGAGGGGATAGCGTTTTGTATTTTTTCGCTTTCGATTTTCAGGCCGGAAATTAAGGCTCATCCGTGAAACATTTGCAGGTTTTGGCTGCTAACTTCCTCCCCGTGCCAATTTTCTGCTCGGATTCCTTTTTTCAAGTTACTGAACAAAAAATGACCTCCCGACCTCACTTCTCGCCTCACTTCTCGCCTCACCTCTCACCTCTCCCCTCTCACCTCTCCCCTCTCACCTCTCACCTCTCGCCTCACCTCTCGCCTCACCTCTCGCCTCACCTCTCGCCTCATCTCTCGCCTCTCACCTCTCACCTCTCACCTCTCACCTCTCCCCTCTCACCTCTCCCCTCTCACCTCTCACCTCTCACCTCTCCCCTCTCACCTCTCACCTCTCCCCTCTCACCTCTCACCTCTCACCTTTCTTCTTTCAAGTTTCATCTGCACATGTGCGCGCAGTCGAAATTTGCATTTTGCGAAACTGGATGTCCCTGTGCTGAATAAGATATTTTCTTCCAAAATTCCGCGACGGTGGTTCTATCGGTCTGAATTATCGATAATTTAAGACATGATTGCATTGTGGTTTGACGAAGAAGATTTGAAGAAGATTTAGGGAAAAATGTCGAGGGTCGACGTAAGGGACGAAACTCGTGAAAAGGAATTCCTATTGATTTGTCGTAAATTTTGTGGCCTGCCAATGTTAAAAAAAAAGTAGTTTTTTTTTTTCCTGCGATAGGAGGACAATTTATAGTTTTATCGGAGCCTCATTTGCCCCCAGCTGGCCTCGGTGACATTTCCCCCCCGCCATCCTAACCACATCACTCTGCAACGAATCCCCCAAAACCTGCACGTTCTCCTGCTCTCCCGCATTGCCAGATCGCCCAAACAAATGAAATGCGAGTGTAAATGTCGTCTTACTAACGCTCTCCTTTCCTCCTCTTTTCTTCCTCCTTACCCGTCGGCAGGGCCGGCCTTAGGCTTGTGCCACATGTATCCCTGCACAGAGCGCAAATTCACCATGGGTGCCAAAACGTGACTGTAGGCATGAAGCAACCATAATGGATGCCACTCTCCGTTTTACTTCAGAAAGTGGAAATGCTTCCTTTTCGGCGTCATTTCGGACCCTTCTTCCTTCGGGGTTGGGAGTCTCTTTGCACCGGGCGCCGAAATAGCTAGGGCCGGCCCTGCCCGTCAGCGACGCTCAGCCTTTTGGAACGGGAGGAGATCACGCCCTTTCAATCGGACGTACCCGCTCGCCTCCATTCGCATTCCGCATTCCGCGCGCGTCTCGCCCGCATTCCGAGTGGAGCCATCATCGGCTGCGGGACGATGGAAACCGAGCAGTTCGGTCAGGTCGCCGTCGAATCGGCTTCTTATGGGCGACGTCTTCATAATAGGTGCACGTTTTCTTCTATTAGTTTTAAAGCTTCTTGTGCAGAAGAGAAATTGATGGAAAAACCAAAAAAGCATTAAAGCAGCTGCAAAAAAACCGGTTCAGTAGGCAGGTATCCGGTTTCGTCCGGTTTCCAAGCCGCATATCCAGCTTCGTCTCTATTACAATCACAATAATAATTTATTACAGAGACGAGCCATTCGTCATGAGAAATTGAAAAGAAGATACAGAACAGGAACTGTAAACGGGGATGATCCTCAATATCTTAATCTAATTGGCCCTGAATAAAACCCTTCCTCCTGCCGGCATTTCCCCCCCTAAATGCTCGAAAAGCTTCATATCTGAAGTCTCAATCCTTCATTTTTAAACTCTGAGTCATCCTTTCTTCAAAATCCGCAAAATATGGGGGACATATTGCGGATTTTTAAGATTTTCCAAGATTTTGGATGTTGACTTTTTTTTTTTGGGGGGGGGGGGCCAAAAAAAAGTAGTTTTTATTTTTTTTTTTTTTTTTTTTTGGGGGGGGGGGGCCAAAAAAAAGTTGTAAATCATCTCCTATTCCTCACCCAGGCATCCGAGATTAGAAGGACGTGTCTCACTCGAATGGCACCAGCCTATTATTAGTCGATTAGCCTAAATTAAGTGTCGAATACTTCGTGGTTAACAGCTAGTTTCCAATATTACCCTAGGGGTAATTTCAAGGAATGCCATCTGGATAGAAAAGAATGAGGTCGAAGAGACACGAACACGAGAAAAAAAGAACAAAGAGCAAAAGAGCTGTCGATTTAAAAAAGACGAAATCTCCACTTTCCGTGGAGGTTATCTTTGCCGAGACGTTCAGCTCTCGAGTCGGAGCTGAACTGGAAGTCGATCTTTCGTTGAAGTTCTCTCATGGAAATGAGCGTAGCGGGGATGAAGAACGTTGGTTGGAACGGGAACTCTGGAACACTGTTCTTATGCGTGTCAGGCGTCTTTTTTTTTGCCATGGAAACGATATTTCTCGAGCGTAAGCTGTGTAAACCCGCCCTTAGGAGGGCCCATCGCTTCCCCGATGCATCATCTCGACCGTTACACATTACGAGCTCACATCTGACTCGAGTTGTCGATCTCGCGCGAAAGGGGGAACGTAGATAGGCAACGGAGAAGGGATGAATGAACGTGCCCTTCATATCCGCACCCAACGCACTCGCTCACTTTCACCAGCGACGGGTGCATGACCCTCCATGTCCACGCCGCCTCCAGGCGGATGTCGGGCTCCACGCGACGGGCTTGGACGAGACGCGGCCGAGGCTTCATTGTGGCGTGCCGTTATGAACGGGTTCGTGTTCGTCTGCGCGTGTGGATTCCAAACCGGAGAGAAGTATCATGATATCGATGCAGCCCAAGTCCGATGAGGTCAAAGTATCCTCCATCGGTTCACGAATATCGAGACATTCCTCAATCACAGGGTTTTATATTTAAAAAGGAACAACTTTTTATCTATTTTTAATCTAATCTCTGCTCTCTGAGGCCATTGTCACGAAGGCTGGGCATGGATACATATACTTTGTAATTTTCTTTCGTAATTTCATCTGGATTTGTTTGGCCAAAACAAGACTATGTGCAATGGAAAACAAATGGAAACGTGAAAATGGACAGGAAGCATCTCGGTCTCCTTCGAAACGAAGGGAAAACCTACCTAAGCTTTATGCGAATTCCGTTCATCGGCATTAATTTACTAATCCGTCATTAATTGGACAAGGCTTCTAGAAACTTTCTCTAATGAGGAAATTCCAACGGAGAAGCTGGATGTGGCCTGGAAGCCCTCAAGAAGTTCTCCATTCCTGACATCCGGTTTTTCTTCAATAATTGCCTCGGCAGGAATTGGATTGCCTCGGCAGGAATTGGATTGCCTCGGCAGGAATTGGATTGCCTCGGCGTTACGAAGGAAGTTTTGAAGATCGCTGAGTCTTTTTCAGGTCCCTCCTGTTTATTTTCAATCGGAGCGGAACCATTTTTCTTTCATGCAGATCTTAAATCAGTGGTGCCCAATCTTTTCGGCTAGGGGGCCGCGTAGTTCACTACCACGACCATATTAAGTCGCTAGTATTGTAGGAGACTGTTTTAAGGAAACCTGAGGGTATTTTGGGTTAGGGCCTCGCGGGCCACTTGTAAGCACCTCGAGGGCCACTTGTAAGCGCCTCGAGGGCCACTCGTAAGCGCCTCGAGGGCCACTTTTTGCCCGCGGGCTGGGCACCGCTGTCTCAAATCATACCATGATTTAAAGGGGTCTTGAGGAGATTAGATTCCTTTAATCCTAAGGATTTAAGCCCACTCGAGACCTCAAGCCGAGATACATTTTTACATTCTCACCCTTTCTAAACAAGATCCAAGCGCTGGGACTTGCCTTTCCCTCCGGCGAAACTCGAGAATATCTGTTGAAAGCGTGCTCTGTCCACACGAAATGATCGTGCGAGTCATTCCAATCCTACATTTATCATGCCTGTCTGCAATTACGCGGATCGTCCTTTCCGTCCTCTGGACGGGGGAAACAAGACGATCCCAGCGGCTAAAAACCGATTATCCCCCCCCCTCACCTTAATGAAAACGACGAACCCCTTTCCTGCGTCATAAGCTGAGAGGAAGAAGCGTCAACAGATGACCAATTTGTGAGGATGAGGAAGGGGCACTCTCGTGTTCCGCGATTCACCCTTTGTGATTGCGATATCCTGCTCAGGTCCCTTTTAGTTTGGGAAAAAAAGCCACCCGGAACCAAAGCCACCCGGATTATAACCACCTGGAACAAAAGCCACCCGAGATTAAGGTGCAGAAAAACTATACTAAGTTTAAACCTGCTTTTTAATATCGCAATTAGAAATTGAAATAGAATTGAAATATTTTTGTATAATTTGCGGATGACTCATTACGCTATTGACGCTTGTAATTTGCGTTTTTGAATAAAAATTTTTCCTTCTTGACATCTTGATTTATGCATAGGATATTTTAGTATTCAATAAATTAAACTATTTTTAGGGCAAAGCAAGTTGCCCTTGATCCAATCGCAGCACATCAAATAAATTCCTAAATGAATTTTCCGGGTTTTTTTTCTTCTGGTCTTAATGTTTTGATTCGAATTTCATGGAAAATATGAACGATTTGTATTAATTTAATACCTTCAAAACTCAAGGAAACGAGAAAGACCAAAGAAACCAAGAAAACTGGTTTAAAGAGCCTTCTTCATTGTTCCGCTTAACAGCCGGATTGCTGTTTTAATAGACACTTTTCCCGCGGAAAGTGGGGGGGGGGAAAGCCTAGCTAATTTTTTCTTCCGATTTTTGCCAATTCTGGGGGCATTTTTTTCCGGGTGGATTTTTTTCCCTTGACCCGCTGCAGGGTGTGGGGTGTTGCAGGGGCTTGCCAAGTCTCGTTTCAATACTGCTTATTAATCTTAATTACTTTTCTCTCTTCTTCCTGTCGTAGAGGTTGCTTCCTAAACTCAAAGGATTTATGTTGGACTCGAAAGTCGTGTATCAACATGGAAAGGAATGCCTGTATTCACGATCATAAGTGTGGGAGGATGAAGATACAAAGTGCGGCACAATGTATGAAATGGTGAACAGTACTGTAAGTACTGACTTGGGTATGACGGTGACATCGTGGCGTTTCGACACAATGCACTTCGCACGATACATATTCAGCGATATAGACGGAATAAAACCCCACAAAACTGCTTCCTCACGACCGGGATCCACATGGATAAGGTGAATGAATGAAAGTAAAAGAAACGGACACGGCACAGGGACACTCACAACCAGTCGGTACATTAAAAATAAATATTTAATCACCCACCAAATAGTAATGAACTTGTCACCAAATATTTTCAGCCTGCAAAAGTATTGACTCCATCACCAGATCACAATGAATCATCTGCAAATTGGAGTCAGTCACCAAATTCTTATTTTTGATTTCATCAAATATGATTGCATCATCACAGGTGTTGATATCACCAAATTTGCATTATCCTGCACCAAAAAAAAAGATCTCATCGAACTTATGACATTCTCAGCATTTGCAAGGAAAGGATTTTTCGTTATTTCCGGTTAGACCTCCAACGTCAAGATGAGACTGTAAGATCATATGCTGTGGGGGGTGACCTTCGGGGGAGGACCTATGTAACTAGTCTCCTTGTGCTTGTGTACATGTATGGGAGTTGTGTCCGGCGCTGACTTCCAGTTTCCGTGTGCCCTATATATTAAAGGTGCCATGGCAACTAGAGAGTTTGAGGACATTGAAGGAGACGCCTTCTTTACCTGCAGTGACGGCATCGCCACAAGGGAAGAGGCTCAGAGAAGTGCACAATAGTATATAATCATATATAATCAGAAAACTGGAGCATTAGGAGAACTTGAAGAGAACAAGACTCTTTCTCGTCGTGAGAGTTCCAAATTGTGAATGCACATGCCCTGTTCGGATCAAGACTGGCAAACATTCACTCGGAATGCTGAATCACAACAGGGAGAGTCAGTATGTTCTCCCTTGCAGGCCCGCTAAAAGAAAAATTGATTTCTTTTGACACATGAAATGTGACAATGATTTGGTGCTAACTCAATACAATTTGGTGATCACTTCATTGCTTTTGGTGAAAATATTGAGGGAGAATTTGATGTAAGATTCATTAGGTCTGGTGATGAAATCGTTTTGTGATTTAAATTCATTGAGTGACAAAATAATAAAATCTGGTGGTGAATCATTACTTCTTTGTGACAGAATCAATATTATTTGGTGATGAATTAAATACTAACCTATTAAAATGGAATTACTCACCCTCTCCATTTTTTTTTTATGTACTGACCGGTTGCGGTACATGGTCAATTCAGTGAAATGACAAAATAATTGATGAACACCCGAGTATGGGTAGGAATAAAAAAAACTCCTGAACCGGCTCCAGTTGACCTGAAGAAGCCAGGGTTTCTTCCTGCCTTTTCAACATGGAGACTTCCGTCCCGCGTTGAACTTCTTGATGAGGAACGCGCGCACGGTCTCGACGAGACTGTCGGGGGAGTCGACGCTCTCCGAGACCTGCAGATTCTCGAGATCCAAGCCGACGGCCTCCATGGTCTCCCGCAGCTGGGGGAAGGGGTCTTGCCGACCCTGGAGGATGTCGTCGGCCAGCTCGGACGCCCGCTTCGCAGCCTCCAGGTGCTTGATCCGCTCCGCGCCTCCCTTCCTCCCCCCTCCCCGCTCCGCCTCTATCAGGATGTCGATGTACTCCACGGTCGTCATCGGGGTCGGGCGCAGGGCCTTGTCGCGGAGCTCGTTCATGAGACGGCGGGCTTCTGTGATCATGCTGTATACCTGGGAATAATGTTGAAGCATAAATTTGTTTTCGTGCAGCCGTACAAGCTGAAAAATAATTCGATATCTAATGACAATCAGGTAATACAATGAAAACATGAATCCTTCCGCCAGCCCATATTCTCCCAAGTTGCCCTAAAAATAAAAATTTATAAAATAAATTAACAAAAATTGGACAGCTTTTTTCACCCAGTATTAATAAATTAGTTCATAGTGTTGCTCGACCCTTGATAGCCAGTAGAACGCAGCATGACCTTCTATTAGGTCTAGGTGATACGTGCTGCCATTTTCGTTGAGCCCTCAGCCGTACGCCATTCTCATTGGAAGAACTTCAAAAGGTTACTACGCTAATAAATTAGTTTTTTGTGACGATGAGAAGAGATAATTTTCCCATCTCCTCTGGTCACTATTGAGAGGTCAGAAAATTAGAAGATTCACTTCTTCGTTTGGGATCTGGCTTAACATGAGGGGGGGGGGGGGGGGGGGAAAAAAAAAAAAAAAAAGGTACAGGGGTTGGGGATGGGGGGGGGGGGGGGGGGGGGGGGGAAACAAATAAAAAACAGGGTTCATCGTAGAACCAAGGGATGAGTCGTTTCCCGACTCCTTGACGCACCTCCACCTGACAGGATCGAATGTCGACCGCCAGCTTCTTCATCAGTTGCTCCTTGGAGAAAACCTTCTTGGAGCCCTTCGCGTACCGTCGACTGAGCCAGGCGTACGACCTGAGTTTGGTGACGACCACCTCCTCGTACCGCCAGCTCTGGCCCACATGCAGACTGAAGTCGCAGTTGCATCGGATGCATCGCAGGAGGTCCGTCGGCCGCATGCACTTGGCGAGGCGGGGGTTGCCGTCGCTCGGGTACTCGCACGTCCGTTTTTGGCAGTTGGCGCAGTTGATCGCGAGGTCGCCTTCCGGCAGTGGGATCGATTTGGTTCTCGTCTTCGTCACCTTGAACTTCTCGAGTTCGCTCTTGCATGCTTCGAGGCTCTCGTGGGTCTGTCGGAGCTCCTCCAGCCTGTTCAAGACTAGAAGCAATATAAGGAGATCATTGTTCGCGGTCTCGGAAAGCTTCTCAGATCTGCAGCTCTGATATGACAAATCGTCCAGGTCCAAGGAGGCCCTCGCTGTCGCTATCTACTTGCCCATTGTAACCTGTTAAAATTAGACCTTGATCGATACTGGATCTGACGCGTATATTTGAGTTTATAAATATATATGAATATGGCTTTGGTAGCATCTATTTACCTTCTTTCGACCTCTTCCTCTAACAAAATTCAACCTCCTCGTATTTCTCTCTGAGATCATCAACAGGAATGAAATTTTGCATCCTCTCTCAACACAGAATCGCTCCAGCAAATTTGAAGCTCCATCTCCCTGTGGTTATGAAGAACACTGCATTTTGCTTTTTGAAGATGTCAATTTCATTACAGTTTTTTTTCTCCCCCATCCCTCCCCCTCCCGGGTTGCCACTCATGGGGGTTTTCGGAGGGAAGAGACCAACCAAAAGAAAGTCAAAGATATTGACTTGTAGATAACGAAAAGTACCCTTTTTGTTAGCGACCACTTCACCATAAAATATGAAACTAGCTGTCGTTCATTTAGGCTTAGAGTGCTGGCTCCAGTCCCGTCCCTCGGTGTTGCCAGATATCGTGCCGGAGTTACTTCAGACCCACGACCGCTTCGACCTTCGTGTCGGAGCCTGGGTCTTCTGTTTTTTAACGTATGTGACTTTTTGGTCCTGATTTCATGAGATGAGGTGAGAATGAAACATTGATTAGCAGTAGCCGATCGATGTGGTGAAATATGGAGATAACTTACACGGACATCCCTGACTTAACCGAATGGTGCCCACCATGGTGCATTCTCTGCTTCACTCTCTCGCCAGACCTATTCGAGATGGTTTGAGGAACTCCAGATAGGCCTAACGTTCCGCGTCTGTACTGAAATGGTTCGTGAAACTCGAAACAGGCCTCTAATCTGTCTAACGTTGCACGTTTACTCTGAAATAGTTCGTGAAGTATGAATAGGCCTGTGATTGGCCTAAGTTACATCCCCTCAACGATATATCTCGAAGACCAGGGATTGATCCTTACAGCGGCGTAGCGTCAGGGGGGCAAGGGGAGCACGTGCCCCCATTGCGCTTTTCTAAAAAAGAAGCCAAAAAAAAGAAGGAAAAGACCCAGAAATGCATGATAACGATATCCCTGAGTGCTTTTGCCCCCTCCACTTTTTCCATCCATGCTACGATTATGAATCCCTATATTCCTAATTGATCCCGTAAGTCGAGGATTGAGTTTCTTTTGAACGAAAAAAGGTTGGCTTAAGCCTGACCTGAAGACAGTTCGTTGGTTATGCCTAGGCCAAACATTAGTGAGTACCGTAGAGAAGGTGAGGCGGGGGGGGGGGGGGGTGAGGTTGAGGAAAAATGGTTTTTACATTACTTGATAATATATGCAGGGTGACCCATAAAAGGCATTCTTTTCAATGCACATTTTAGGTGTGATGCTTTCAGGAATTTCATTTCCTTTTGCATGTAATGGAAAGAAGAAAGCTTCAAAATGCTTCTTTCAGACTTGAAATATCATAAAGGACGACCTACAAAAAGAAATTTATTCACTTCCGCTCTTCTGAGTGTCGAGATGGTGAGCGCAACGCTGATTTTTCGCAACCGAAATTCAATAATTTTCTTATTCATCGCCGATTAAGATATTTCAAGTCTGAGCCTTTCTGTCTGAGCTAAGTCTTTCCTCTTTCTATAACATGTAACGAGAAAAAAATGTATTTGAAAGCATCGCACCTCCAATGCGTATTGAAAAGTGCTCTTTTTTTGGGCCACCCTATACGTGTATATCTTTCAACCGCATGATTTACCTCGCGGTATTTCCTTTTCTAGTCTCTCCATTATCTCTCGCAGTCGTTTTCGGTCCTTTAAGACTTCCACGGTGCGCACGAGAGAGACCGGTTCTGAATACTGAAAATCCCCAAAAAAGGCGGCGAAGCTCTGGATCCCCATATTCCAGAACATGGACTGGAATTTCTCGTCCGCGTTGTTGGCAGCAAACAGGGCGGCATTGTTGAAGCTGAATAACTTATCGTGCGGTATGGTCTCAGTGGCCTTGAGGACGTCTTGGACGTTCGTCCTCTGCCCGTCGGAAAAGGAAACGAGAAGGTAGAACTTGTTCTTCACGTCGTTACCGAACAGTTCCACGACCGACTCGAAGACGTATTTCTGGGCTCCGGTAATTCTCGTAACCGAAGACGGCAGGACGAATCCGATCCCGCTGAGGAAGGCCATGCCATGGGGCTTGCAGGCGACGAACAATGCATGGACCTATCGTGGAAGAGTCCATGGATGATTAAAATTGCTCGGAAACGTCATCAAAGAATCCTTATTTTGCGGGAAAATACCATCAACGAGAACAGGATGGTTTACGTGATGCAGCAGGCGGGAAGCGTGTGACTGCACCCGTTGGAATACAATTGGAATGCAATTTTGTGATTTCTTATCCATAAGATTATGAAGGATATCGAATGAATAATAAGGTTATTGGAATAACGCGCCTAACGGAATAAACTTTTCACGAAACCGAAGCGCAATAATAAATAGCATTTAAAAACAACCCACCTGCTTTCGTTTTCCTGCGAAATAATAGGATTAATATTATCAAGATCTGTACAAAGTGGATGAGATTGTCTCCCAATTGTATATAGTTGTAGTCACCCTTTTCCCCAAATTTGTAGCCCAGAATGTGTACATGCCCTTGGTTGACGTGAGATGGCATTTCTTGCGCCGCGTAATCCATTCCATTAAGACAGGTCACTGTTTCTACTATATGCCCATAACTAATGTTCGGAAAGTAGCATGATTCCACCCGTGCCACCCTCGAAGCTGAATTCGGGAATTTTCTCCACTTTACAGTGGAAGGAATTGTTTAGGAATTTTTCACTAGGGAACAGTGCACATCGGCTAAGGAGGTGGAGCCTGTTGAGTCTGACTAGCCCCCTGCGTGACCTTGTTTGAGAGAGCTTCGGACTGCATTGACAAAAGAAAGGGAAAGAGGTGTTCGACCCCCGTCCGGTCGGGATCGCATTCGCAAACTGAGGGTAACGAGGTGCATTACCCTCTTCTACCCTTGTACCGAATCACCGTCCACTTCCGCGGTAGCGTCTTTCGCAGGTATCGTCTAAGCGGCCCCTACCGAGCGTACTAATTCCTGCACACTAGTCACTGCTCGTCCGAGGCCCACCTTGACAGTCCGCCTGGTCATTGACAGCGGGAACTTCGCTTAAGTTTAAGGGCTGTGTAGACTTGCCTCCGGCTTGGATACTGCCCCTCCCCCCCCCGTCCCCTTCCGATAACTTTAGCATGTAATCGATCTCCGTTGTGTGTGTTTGTATGTTCGTTGTTGGTGCCTGAGATTGCTTCACAGCCTCTAAAATTCCCTTCAATCTGTATTGTGTTGTTGCTGAAGCTCGTGGTCTGCCTTGAGCTTAAAGATTATTTGGGATAACCGATCCGACCTCGCGAGTTTTCCTAAGTTCACCCTGCGCTTGTAGTTTACAGTACGGCTATAACTGATTAGCGCGACGGCATCTGGTCTGCGGACTGGTGAGAGGCCCGAGCCAGTACTAATACTTTCCGGATTCGGTACTCCAGGAGGGTCGGCCGGCTGGAAGAAGCCGTCAAAACCGTCACTATATAATTGGTATTGGGAGTATTCCAATAACCAGAGTCGAGTGTGCAGCGAAAAATTACTTTCGATGCATCCGCGAGAGTCGAGTAATTAGTGATAGCTTCGCTGCGATTTTTTCTGCGAAATTTACGCGATTCGCGGAGAAGGCTCCTTGTAAAGAACAGATCGGTCGGACCTTGGCGAGCACCTGCCGGTCGGCCTCCAGCCCCTCGGTGTCCCCGAAGCCGGGGGTGTCGATCACGGTGATGGTGTAGGGGACGCGGAATCCCTGCTGCCAGTGGAGGGTGTAGGCGGAGACCAGCTTCGTCTGGCTTCGGGTGCTGGCCTCCAAGTTCGTCTGCGTCTTTCGTTCCGTGATCAGCGTCAGTCTGAAGTCGTCGTTCCAGTCCACTCCGTAGACGTAGTTCACGATTCCGTTGATCATCGTGGTCTTCCCTGCAAAAACAGTTTCGTTACGCGGCTCGGAGTCGCGACTCGATGTGCGTGGTTTAGATTTTCTTTTGCTTTTCTCTTTCTGAGCTCGATTCACTTCTCCCTAGATGAGATAGGGCATACCTCGTATATATACACTGTCATCGGTTAGTAACGCGAGGATTCCGACCTGCACCGGTGGCGCCGACGAGCATGAGCACCCTCTCCTCGACGTTCACGTTTGTCCTCACCCCGACTTCGTATTTGGCGACCAGCTCATTTTGCCTCCAGACTGTTCTCTCCTTCCGCAGCTTGTAGACCCGAGGTCGACCGTCTTTGGGGGCTTCGTAATTTCTGGCGAATTCGTGGCGGACCATCTCGGCAAGTCTGTCGTAGCTCTTCACCGTTTCCCTTGACCTGCCTGCGAAAGACTGGCTCCGAACCCTCGACTTCACCCCTTTTGGCATTTCCTCGTCGGCATCCGAGGAATCCTGGGAAGAAGACGTCATTCGTTGCTAGGAATGCGCGATTGGGGATACCGAGCAGAAACGACCCTGCGACTGAATGGGGTTCATTGGTACGCGCTTTTACGCGGCTGTTAAGGGGAAAGTCACTGATGCGAATGGGTTAATCGGGACTCTCGAACGCCTCTAGACACCGCCACCCTCGTTGAGTCCATATTTCACATCAATGAAATTCAATCGTGCCCTTATTTCCATGTCAACCAATGCAGCTGACTCAAGTGTCAGAGAGCCCGCCAGTGAAAGTGTTAATCGGACGGAATGGTCCCTACAAGTGCCTGTCAGGTGCCCGTCAAACGCAGCTTAATTCACTCACAGACGGAGACAGATAGGTAGTGGCCCGACGAACTCGAACTTCCTGTTCGCGGATCTCCTTCGCACCCTTCGATCCCTTGTCCATACTCACGGCCTGATAAGTAAGGACCAGAACTTCAGGTCGAACAAGTCTTGATCATCTGACCAGGAGCTCTGTTGAGGCACCGAAACTCACAAATGAGACTTGTTTCCTTGTTGGCATCGAGGTCTGACTTGACCTCTCCTCCACATATATCGCATCCTGATGCAAAAAAAGCGTCAGAAACCATGAAGAGCGTGCGACATTCTCATATATGTATTTTCTGCATTTGATGTTGGACTCACTCTTTTCGGTGGAGGCGGGGACCAATATAAGGGCTGCTTGTCCTCAAGGCCAAAGCTTAGCTTGTACTCGTACATCGAAGGTATCTAAGGGGTAATCGGATGAGAAAGAAGGGAAATTACCAGATTTGAGAAAAACTTCGAGGTCAGAAAAGTGGAAAAGGGAATCAATACAATGCTTGCAAGTTTTCTCTTACGTGAAACATGACGTAGGCAGAACAGTATCTTCATCCCCTTGACTCAAAGAGCTTTTATCAAGTGATCACGCTGGCATTCGAGTTTACTGCTTACAATTTTTTTTATTGAGAAACCGAAAAGAGCGAGATCGATCGCATCCCACGAAACCCCAAAGAAGAAATCGCAATAACAGCTCACGTAATCAGACGGCGTATACGGTGGCGGAGGCGAGCGTCTGCCCCCCGACGCCTCACTCGAGCACACCCTCAGGCGCCCCCGGTCGGGGAGGTTTCTGTAATCCACCAGGCGAACATAGCACTTCTCCTCTTCGTCCAGGAGTTCCAGGTAAAACGAGGAGGGCAAGAGAGGGGCCACGGGGGATTCGCGCAGTTCGAGTTCGATGTTCGCCCGGTGCTCCACTTCGAGGCGGAACGTTCCCTCCTGGCCTGGTATCGTCAAATAGTACTTGTACTTTTCCATTGTTTATTTTTTTCACCTGAGCTTTCGATCTGAAACAAAATCGGTATGATTTTCGAGTGGCGGGGTTCTTTTGTGAGCATTGCAGCTATCTAGAATTTTGCGGCTCAGGTCGTTTTCTTTTGATAGTCTCGATTTCCAGGCGCACTTCCATTTTGTTTAGACTCCATTATCAGCAGAAGGAAATGGGAGTATAAAATAAAATATATGGATGTCTTACACTCCTCAATGATAGCGGAACGGTAGTTCACGCAACGATGCGATTGGGGTGGTACTTTCACAAAGATAGCAGCAATCTCGATTCTGAGAGGAAAACACAGGTTGTCCCATGAGTCACTATACCATTTCAAAACGTCACATCTATTTATTGACCACCAAGTACGAGATATCTCGTACTATGCTTTGAACTATACCACACGGTTGCTGATTTCCAACATTTCATGATGGAGTACTGGATATTACTAATTGCTTTCATATTTTTTCGAATTTCTGTGACTGAGTAAAAAAAATATGAAAGAATGGATATTAATAATTTTTTGAAAAGTTTTCAACTTTTTGTGGCGTGTGAATAAAAAAAAACAGGTGGCGGTCGATGTGTTGAACAGTTGACATAAAAAAGAAGTAACATTAACTGAACAATAGCATATGTCATTTGAAATTATCTTTGTCAAAAATGCAGGTATTTCCAAGTTTTGAAAATGCCTCAAAATCCCCTTTGCCTACATCAATACATTTAGCAAGAGGCTCGGCGTCAAAAAATCACCGGAACTCCCCTTTAACTCAGATTGGACTCTCAAAGACCTTCAGCCAGGTTGCAACTTTTCTTCGTTGCTGCAGCATTTTGAAGCTTTTTCTCACGATAGCAAAAGCAAATTAAATTAAATACTTTCTTTTCTGTTTTTTTTTTTAAATAAATATATATTTAAAAGTCTTTCTGGAGTTAGGAGAGAAAAACATGAAGTTTAGCCAATTTGTAGTCTCTTTCTCCAAGTCGATCGTCCCTTCTAGAAAATGCTCCAAGAGCTATCTAATCGCCTCATCCGATGTGGTGGTTTACTGGAGATTGCAGTGATGTCATCGACAGACGCATTCCAGGATCCTCTTTTCAATGCTTCCTTTTTGTGCGAGAAGCCCCATCGAATTGCTTCATAACTAATATTAGTGGGAAAGTAACGAGATATGTACACCGGTACACATCTCGACCGCATCTCATCGACAGTCGATAAACTCGTGCCAGTCATGTGGTGATGTTCCTTCTGCCTCGCCCTCCTCGGTCGGAGCCTCGAATCAACTCCGGACGGCCGCTTGGATGCCTTCGACCAAGACCTAAAACCCTCGGAGTGGATCCTTGAGGGTCTTCTTTCACTCCTTCCTGTAGCAGTCATGCAAAAGGCAAACCATGGGATTGTGGACTTCGCTCGTAGCGCAGAGTCCCGCTTTTATGCAAGGACGAGGGCCATTCTCAAAATCTAGAGTATTATTAGGTAATGAGTGAGAATACTGTAGCAGTCATGCAAAAGGCAAACCATGCGATTGTGGACTTCGCTCGTAGCGCAGAGTCCCGCTTTTATGCAAGGACGAGGGCCATTCTCAAAATCTAGAGTATTATTAGGTAATGAGTGAGAATTAAAATCTCGCCACACCTTGACGGGATTACATCATCGCTGAACAAATGATTCATGTGTTGTGGATGTCTTGACGCTTAAAAGCTCTTCGAATGAATACGTTTCAACGGTTGCGAAATTTCACGCGTTGCTGAAGAACATCCCAATGAAGTTCATGATAGCATTGGACAACGCTGCAGCTGATGTTTCTTCAACGCGGGCAGAAGGTCGAAGACGTTCTTCAACGGGACAACCGTCTGACTGACAATTACCAACATATGACCTGCCGAGCGGGGATCTCCGGAACGTGAATGCGTCGTAGAGAAGTTCGGCGGAAAAAACATCGAGGTGAGGTGAGTGACGTTAGTGACTCATCACCATGCGGCTCGTCCCTGTCCTCCAGAAGGAAGGAGGACCCTCACGTCTTCGACCTTCTGCCCGCGTTGAAGAAACATCAGCTGCAGCGTTGTCCAATGCTGAATTCTCACTCATTACCTAATAATACTCTAGATTTTGAGAATGGCCCTCGTCCTTGCATAAAAGCGGGACTCTGCGCTACGAGCGAAGTCCACAATCGCATGGTTTGCCTTTTGCATGACTGCTACAGAAAGGAGTGAAAGAAGACCCTCGCGGATATTTACCGATGATGTCACTGCGATCTTCATCGAGCTGCACCTTAAACGACAAGTTCCACACCTACATTGAAGAACGATCCGTGATTGAACTCACCCATTTCTAGCCGTTTTTATTTAAGGCACCCAAAAAACGGAGAGACGGTTCGATCTCGACACGACCGAGATGATGCCCTAAAATACTCCCTCACTGGCTGCAGTTCTTCCTGGAACTGTTGCGAAGCGATATCCAGCCGTCGTTGATTGGGTCCGGGCGAGGCCGTCCCCTAAGAGACACCCACGTGGTTGCTTACATAAGTGAGCTCAATTCTACAACGGAATGCTGCTATCAGTTATTACCGTCCTGATATGCGAGAGTGTGAAGGGAGTACTACGTGACCCGAGTTGAAAGAAAGACTCCATGTCTCTCTGATTTCAGACTGTCATGGCTAAGGAAAAGGCGTGAAATTTTTCGTCGTCTGGAGACCTTGCAGCACTTTTTGGCTTTGCCTGAACGACATTTTGCTGTTTGTAATCTTTCCTCTTCCGTATTTTTCCGACGCGAACGAAATTCATGGAATCTTCGTTCTTACGGTTCGAAGTCTCGCACTGAAATGCAAGGAATCCGACGTTGATGTTGGGCAGTGGAAACTCGTGGGCCAGAAGTTGAAAATGTTGGTAATGTCTGGTTTAAATCAGCAACTGCCTCTTGACAACTCGCTGAACAAGGCGATTCATATCTCATTTTAATCTATGTATTCCCGTGTCGTTTTTTTTTTTTACAGAGATTTCTACATCTCTCACGAGGAGGCAAAATGAGAGCAAAGCCTCTCTGAGCCCCCCAGGGTCCCAACTGACGAGAAATTGTCGAATGTCGACGGAATCGACTCCAGCGATTTTCGGCCGGTGAATACGTAAAGGCCAGCCATCGGCTCAATCCAGCGCTTTTACCGCATTTGAAGTGAATGTCAGCTTTACTTTTCCAATTCTTCACTTTTCGACCGAGTAGAGACGATATATTAGCAATGTTTTTTCCAGCCCAGTATCTCCCTTTAAAAGTCAGTCTCCTGGAAAAAGTACTGTACTTGAGTCCATTGTGCAGAGTTATGTCGCCAGGAGAATACTCTTTCTACGTCGGTAGAATAATAATATTTAAAAAAAAAAGTTTCGGAACAGTATTGAAAATTGAGGAATAAAAACAGAACCAAAGAAGAAAAAAAAACGCTGAAAAATGAGCGAGCCAGAGGACAGTATAGACGAAATTCATTGTTGTATGCATAATTGATATCACTGTAAATTACTAAGTTGTTCAAATATTTTCCATCTTTCATATCAATGTCTGCCAATACCAGTATTGTCAGTACTATCCTTGCTAAAGACCTGAAAAAGCAGCTATCTACATTCTGTCTGTCGTACGTAACAGGAAGAAAAAGTATTTTCTCTCATTCCTCGCATGACAGTCTCTCCTGAAGTGTATGTTGACTTAGTTTTGAACACCTTATGTATACTAAGGTCAAACGCTCGCCAGTCGCGGAATTGAAGCCATTTCCTTTCCTTCGAAGGTACAGTATTATGGTGGCAATGCCCCAGCACGAATGAGTCTTTGGCCTTGCCTCTGCCCCCGTCCGGTGCTCCATCGAACGGTCGCCCCACTCGACCTCCCTCTTTCGTCTTGGGTCATACGACTCTTTCCAGTTTGGGGACAGTCTATCGTTCGTCTCCACTTTTGATGCCTTCAACGTTGTGATGCTGCTGAACATCGGTTCGGGACTCCCTTTTTCATACTCGAAGTTATAGGCTGAATGCTGAAGAAATCATGTAGGTCCGAATGCTGAAGCCTCCTTTAGTTTACAGTTCTTTAAGAACATACGGACTCCTTTGCGGTCCTTTAAGAATATATGGACTCCTATGGGGGAAAAAGAGCTCTTTAGCTTAAAGACCTTTTTACTTCCTCTAAATGAGGTTTGCGCATTCGGGCGTTAACCCGAATGCACAAAGAGCTCTTTTTCTCCTATAGGAATCCATGTATTATTAAATTATCGTTAAATGAAGGAGGCTTCAGCATTCTGGTCTTAAACTTGAATTCTTGTTCATGCCATGAATGTGAAACATAGATATATGGTATTCCCAATTATTGGCTGACAGTTATAGATAATAAGCGAACGAGCGATTTTTTTGCGCGACCACGCTTGTTCAGAAACAAAAAGTGTGCTGCAGCTGGGCAGCTACGGACTGCAGTTCGCTCATTACTGGGTAAAAGTAACTTGAAAGTAGCTACGTTATTTTTGGCTAAAAGTACCAGCTAACGCTATTCGTTTTTTTTTTTTAGCAAAATAGGTCTACACCTTACTCCACGTAGTTCATTCAGTAATGCGATGCGTTTACCCCGCTATCATTGGATGAAGGTGTTCGATGGGATAAAGATTAGTGAATCTTAAGTCCAGTATGCCTTCCCTCGGTTCTTGTGTTCTTGGTGAGAAAAATGTGAATCTGTCAGTGTCAGAGCCGGTAACGACCAATTACGAACTTTCTGCTTTCCCATCCTGTCGAATGCGCGCGTGCACCTGCACGTTAATCTGGGTGAAATATTTGTTGATGTATGTTCTTTTCCTTCTCATACATACAGGTTAGCCGCGCTAGCCACTATTGCACATTGGTCACATTGTTGACAGTAATGTGGACGAAAATTCTTGAGGCAATTTTGTTGTTTGAGTCGAACATAGTCATTTAAGACATAAATTGAACATGTCCTCTTTAAAAAGAAAAGTGTGTTTATGTGCTTCACATTCACGGTCTTTCATCTAGGAGAAGGCAAAGATCAAAGAACGGTGTCTAGGGCTTACTCCTCGTGCAATCGTCTTCTCTCCTACGCGTTGTTATTCTGTGCACGGCGTAGGAGGAGATCTTGTTAGCCCTTTTTGCCAGAATGGCTCATGTCTCCTGAATGGGACCTCGACCCAGATTTCTGGATCCTTGGGGACACCGGTAAAAATCAAATTTCGTCAGTACAGGTAGACTTCGAGTTGGAGCAGCCTGTCCGATGAAGATTTAGTGTCGGTTTCACAACTTTGGTTCACAGATTTCGTTCGCCACTTTTTTAACCCGCTTAGATCATTGCTGAGTGACAGGAAGCTTTTTCTTATTGGTACTTGTTCCTGAAGCAGTGTCAAGCTTCTCACTAAATTTGTATAATTTGACCCGCAGTTTATTTTGATCAGTTTTAGGATCCATGTTCCGCTGCCTTGTACTCAGACAAGTCTCAGGATGTGAAACCGATTCTCCAGGCACCAATGCTTCGAAAAAACGCCCAACTTCATTCAAACACAATTGGAGATTGTGATCAATGTTCCACAGCTTAATGAAAAATTGAATCCTGTCTGCTGCTCTCTTTGATTTCCTTGGCATGGGTCAGACTCGCCTTACATGTTTTGATGGAGCGAGTGTCCTTACAAGGAAAGTAGCACCTTTTCAACAAAATAAAAACGAAAAATCGTAATGGTACTATAAAATACGTATTTATTGAAAAGTTGCCACCAAAACATTTTCCAGCTCTCTGCGCTCAGCCGCGCCAACTCCTCGTCTCAGAAAATTGAAGTATATGGCGAAGCAGATTTCTTGTTCACTGGGTCTTTCGGTACCTACACTTTATATAGAATTTAAATCATTGAGAATATCCAACTTAAATCCCATGACATAATATCATTTTTCTTTCTCAGTGGTGATTACATGCAAGTATAATGTATATGAAAATAGTAATAATAACCAATTGTATTTCTAATGTCCCACCCTTTGAACTCACCAGTCCTAAGGCAGTTTCAATTCTCGGCGCACCTCAAATAAGCTGACTTCATCGCATGCGCGATCAAAAGATTAATTTTTACAAAACCAGACATCTTATCCAGTGCAAGCCATATCTTTCCGAGCTTTTGCGATGGTGGGCTGCTCGATGGTTCTCCACAGCACTCATATCACTTTCCTTTCGAATAGACGAATGCAATCTGGTTCTGTCTAGATGCTTTCCAACCACACTGCATTGCTTTGAATTATCTTATCTTAGTAGGACTGTTGACATGCTAGCATTGTGGTTTGGTTGAGAACATATGATGAAGTATATGTCTTGTATGTCAAAATACTCGGAGAACTCGCGAGAAGGTAGTTTCTTTCCATTATTTTCAGTCGTATGCCCCTTTGAATATCCATTGCCTGTGTGTTTGTGTGTTATATAATGTATGCTATAGAATGACAATTTCAAGTTTTCTCAATTTCTTCATATTATTCGTGTATCACCATATCCACTTCACTTTACAATCAATCCTCCCGAACTTGCACGTGATTCTGCTCTCTCTTATTGCCAAATTGCCGAACAAAACAAGAGATACGAGTACTTGTGGAAATGTCGATGGCGTCGCATTGATGCTTGCAGTTGCCTCTTTCGCCATTAATGATTGACCTTTGCAATAGGAGAACTGCTGCGCGAATGAGCATAGGTTATGGATGCCTTCTCTCCCCCTTTCATCCTCATTATGCAATCCACGTACCTTGGTGCTCACCCATGCTCTTAAAAATTGGAGCACTGTAAGGAAAAGTGGTCTATCTGCAAAAAAGGCCGAAAACCGTATAGTCGGTTCATGCTCATGGAGCCTTGTTCCTTCTGATTGAAAGTGGCAGTTTTGGGGAATTGTGTTGACAAGAAAAAAGTCCAATTATGCATATCACTTTTGCTCACTTTTAAAGAATTTTCGGTATTTCCGTGCGGAGATGAAGGAAGTACTTTTTTGCAGAAAGACTCCATTTTCTTTCAGCTTTTCAGCTGGGATAGATAATTCATGCGAGGAGATTGAAGAAGAGGATATGTCGAGCTTCGTTGAACTTTGACATTTTCATAAGATTAAAGAGAATTCTGTTTAAACATACATTGACATTTGTGATGCTGGGAAAAATACGTATATGAATCATTCAGTCTTGGAATGAAGTTTAAAATATGAATAAAACCAACTTGACGATTATCTTCCACAAAATAAACGATTGCACACATCATAAACTATTCATCGTAAAAGTTCATTAGAGCAGAAAGATGATCCCCAAAGCACAATGATTCGTTATTAAGAAAATTCTTTTCAATTTCTCTCCTTGATATAAAAATCCAAGTTTTAGGCGGTTTGCCAGCAAAAAGTTGTGATCTGTTGGTATGGTTCACTTTACATTCACGCCTTACATCTAG